TGTTATTTTAATTATTAAGTTTTTCAATAAGTAATTTTTTTGTTATTTTAATTACTAATTAATGTTATTATTGTAATATTTATTTCCTTTCTTTCTTTATTTTTTATTTTATATTTTCCTGTTTTCCTGACGGCCTTCCGTAGGCCCTTCTGAGTTTAGAAACTAAGCCCTGACAGCAATAGGAAATTTAATAATGAATCATATACAGTGCACCAAAAAATACCGTATTTATGCGAATCTAATGCGCCATCGAATCTAATGCGCATCCCCATTTTAAAACTTTAAATAATAAAAAAATTGTTTGTCGGCGAATGTAATGCGCATCAATGATATGAGGAATTTATTGAATCTTATTTTATACAACAATGGATTTGTATATAAACTATCAATTAATGGTATGATAATTTTATTTAAATTTAGATACCATATTTTATACAACAATGGATTTATACATAAAGTAGTAGAACATAGAATTAACCTATTAGTGGGCAATTGTTATGTGAAACAATCACTGTTAATTACCACTACCGTATATACGGTATCTATCGTAAAATATGAACATGAAATAAATCGTAACATTTCTATCTAGCTAACAGTTTCTACAATTAGTGATTAATAGTAAACGTCTTTATTCACTGTTTTCATCACTGGAATCCTCACAGCTCTTTTCGTCAGACGCAGATTCATTTCTTCTTTCCTCATCATCATCATCGTCATCCTCGGCGTTCTAGAGCTCGTCATCTTTACTGCCATTCAATGAATTTAAAATGCAGCATTTCTTGAAAGATTTCACAATCTTTGGTGCTTCGATGCTTTTCCAGGCAGCAGAAACTCAGTGCAACAATGTGCGGTGCAGCACGCTTAATTTTACCTGTCGGGGTCAATTCACGGTCATCGGCGAACTTTGCACTCGAATCTAATGCGCCATCGAATCTAATGCGCACCCCAATTTTGAATACTACATTTGGCCAAAAACGATGCGCATTAGATTCGCGTAAATACGGTAATAGCCAAAATAAAGTGAATTATTTCTACCCAAAAAAAGGCGACGGAAAACTAGAATAGCTCACGTGTTCAATGCAATGCGACGTTTCAAAGCCCTTTTTAGGGCCGTAGACCGATAAAATAGGCTCAGTATACGGATACCGATCGATTTTACCGAAAGTAACGAGTAACGATACGATAGTAACGAGTACTGGTTCACCGAGTAACGAATACATACGGGTACACAATTTCTCGTTACTTCTACAGCACTATAAAGAACAGTTTGATAAAATAATGTTTCGAGCCAGACGGCAGATTCGCATGCACATGATATATTTATTTTCTTATTTTATTTTCTTTATATTTATTTTATTTCTTTTATATTTCTTTTCTTATTTTTCTTATTTTATTACATATATCAGGATTTAATTTTAGAAAAAAATTATTTTTTGAAATTTATTCATATTGTAACGTCTTTAATTACTTTCTAACGGCTATCCAAAAATTCTCGGAAAAGTTATTTTCTAACAAACCCCTAGGGCCAACTCACCCTATGTAGAGCTACTAGTTACTACTTTATAGTATCCTTAACCCTACGAGCACATTGTCTTACCGAATCGTGAAGATGACATTATTAGTCCAAAGGGAGTTGAATCCCGAAGGACTATTAGTTTCGTTTTGGCATTTTGCGTCGGACGGATAAATGCAACACCTCCTAGAACTAACTCAAGGCCACGGCGCGTTTCCCAGGAGGAGGTGTGACGTCAGTTTCAGTAGGGATAGCATTTCATTTAACTCTCCCCACCCAGGACTGTGGTGGGTGGATTTCCGGAGTTTTGACGGTTACTCGGTCAGAAGTCGTCCATAAGAACAGTGGACATTTTCTTTCTTTTTTCAGATATTTCCATATTATAACTATTCCACTTTATTATTTGTTTTTCAAATTTTTAATATGGTTTACACATGCTGTGTACCTAACTGTAAAGGGAACTATCCAAATGGTACTAAAATACAGGTTTTCTCTTTTCCGAAAGAGAAAGAATTCTTAAATAAATAAATGGATAAAGGCGATTCATAGAAGCAATTTCAAGCCAAAAAAAATTTCGCAGGTAAATTGCGTTTTCTTTCTTTCTTTCTTTCTTTTTTTTTTAATGAATAAGTTTATACTTATCTGTGCTTTAAAAAGTGCTTCTGTGTTAAGTATGTTACAATTATCATAAACCAAAGCCAGTACATACATTTATAGAAAGTAAACATATTTAATCTTATTGAAGTCTAATAGTGATTATATAAATATGATGACTTAATCATACTATTAATTTAATTTATAGCAGATAGTACTGTTTATCATCATGCTAATCGTTCAATCTATAGCAGATGGCATTCTTTATCATCATGCTAGTCACTTTGTAGTAAATAGCATCATTTACCAAGTTAAGTACTAAATTAAACAAATGTGTGACTTAAAAGTAAGATTAGATTAAATGTAGGATTAATAGAAATTCAAAATTGTAAATAAATTTTGTATGTTGCAAAATGCTTGCCTTTAAATATCTCGATACATTTGTCACAGGAACAGCGTATTTATTAAAATCCCAAGACCTTGAAAAATCTTGATAATATTTTTGTAACTAATACCAATTTTGTTTCTGATATCAATGCGAAAAAATACGCTATTTAAATTTTTGTGAGTTCATGCCTGATATTCTTAAAATTCACTTTAATATAAAGTAAATAATTAAATATGTAGTTTTACAAAATCTTGTATTTAATTCTAGTTTTAGATAATTAAATCCGATTATAACAATCTTTGCATGCAAGTGTTTCGTATTTTTTGTAAGTAAATAATTAAATTTTGGCAACTCTTTATTTGGCAAAAGATTTTTCTATCTAATTAGACATGATTCTTCAAAACTAGTTACCTGTTTCACTTTATACAATTAATAGACAAGTATGATTTTCTTTCTATTAGTCGTGAAGAAACATTAACTTATATTATTTTAGCGGTCCAGCAGCGGCCGAGCGGTTAAGTCGCTGAACACTGGTAGTTCGGTCCGAGGTTCGAATCCCGCGAACGGGCTGGCTGCATGGGTGTTTTCGGGGTTTTCCCCCATGTGTAACGTGTATACGAGCCAGTTTCCCTTAGAAAGTCCTCAACGAAGGCATCCCTTCCCTTAGGCAGATAACCCTCGAGTTTTGCCGTAAATAAATAACTTAACCTAACCTATGTTATTTTATGCTACAAATTTTAATGAAATTGAATAATGTATGCTCAGTTTAAAGCCGAAAAACTTAATGTGTAAAAATACAGACAGTTTGGAATAATTCTGAATTGACTGCAAAGACAATTTCGATGATTTTCTTCTTTCTCTTCTTTTCCTCTATTGGAACAATCCTTCCTCTTTTTAGTTGACTGATTGAAAATAAGCATATACATATTATCTAAAGTATTTCGAATTGTAATGTATAATTTAGTGCATCCTAAGGGCATTATATTTTAGTCATTTTATTCGGCAGTAATAATGCAATGATAATTATGTTTTTCATTTGTTGTGTTCAATATCCCAGTTTAGGATTTGTTACATTTGCCTTCCACATAATACTGCTAAACCATGTTATAAAATTTTCCTGTAAAGATCAGAGGTTAGCTATTTATATCTATATCAGACCTCTATCAGAGGTTTGATATTTGCCATTTAAAATGCAAAATAATATTAAATTCTCTCTGTGCACCTAATGTCTCAAATAATTATGAGAACTTATTTAAATCGTTGCAAGCTTAGCGTTATTTTTTTCAAACGTGAGTATTTATTATTATTCGGCAACATATGTTAAAAATAAGATATATGACTTATACTTATCAAAGATGTTTATTAGTCAAGGCATAAATAAATTGTTGTAAGTATAATTAATACTATTCTTGACCAATAAACATCTCTGATTAATTATATTTGTTTTCAACTAATGATTTTATGTTTTCTACATGAATCCAGGTAAAATAGCTTCAGAATTTAAATCAGTTAGAATTTATCTCAATTTTTTAGGATCTATATCCTGCCTTCATGTCTTAAATTGTCTTTCTGTTTAATTATTGCATACAAATAAAATTCCGATTCATTAAGTGTGAAGTTTCTTTCGTTAACAAGAGTTACTCAGCGATTAAATTTGGTAAAATCAGTAATAACTTTTAATGGAATTAAAAATTCTAGTTATTCGTATCGAAAACATTCTAAAAATGAAAATCTCGGTTCTTCACATTCTAATGAAAGCAAGGTATTTTCCACATTTATAAACGATGAGAATTAAATATAAAAATTTCAGTTTAATTATAAGCCTGTCAAATGGACATTTAAGAAGGCGCCCTTAAAGTTGGCGAGGACGAAAGTATCCCTACTGCAGTGACGTCACGAACTGCGCGCCGTGGCCTTGAGTTAGTTCTAGGAGGTGTTGATAAATGTCGGTTCACTTTTAAACTGTTGCCATAAAATGTTAGAGTCCTGCATTATATTTGAAGAAATTAAATAATGAAAATCTGCGTAAATGTATGTATATTTCTCACATTGTCATAAAATAACGGTACATAGAGTCATCGAATTTTGAATAACGTAATCCTCCAACGAATATGAGCATGTGGAAGACCAAATTTGAAATTTGAAATTTGTTTTATGATCGATTTCCTATTTTTTAAAACTTTGACGAATTTTTGATTAACAAACTCAAGGATTTCAAAGCGAGCAGTGGCAACGTTGTGCAGAAAAAACATTTTTATCTCCAGCGCGTGAGTCTCTGTATAGGAAATTCTAGATATATGCTCGTTTTAAAACTATTTTGCGATATTGCTGTTGCACTGGATCTTATGGTTTAAGTGCGAGGAACATGATATTTAATAAAGAAAGGTAACACACAAAATGTTAAAAAAACCCCCTTTGGACGTAATATATAAAATCTGAAACATTTCAGATTTTTTTTTTTTTTTTTATTTTTTCGAATTAAAAAAAAATTCAGTAGGTTTTTCCATATTTCTATTAAAACTTCGCCGTGATGCGTGCCGTAGGTTAGCCATCTAAGGAAGGTTCAGAAAATCCGATATGATTTTTTTCTGAAAATGCAATTTTACAATATGGCAACTTTCCATTTAAACTTTTTGTTTTTATTTGCGAAAGGAAATAATAGTATTTGAAAAGTGGTAGTTAACGATGCTACATATTAATGTCAAGCTTCATGTCATGTTTTATGAATTTCTTCTGGGAACCGTAATTCTAGTTTTGATGATGTTTCGTATGGTATAGTAAGTTTAAATTCTTTCTTATATTCAGTATATTTTACTTTTTGACGGATTGATCTCAATTCATTTTGCATACAGTCGCTCATATTTGTTTACGAACGATTGTATTGCATAGATCTTGTACTAAATATTTTCCCCCTAATGCATTATTTTATCTTCTATCTTAAAGCCTTGCTTGTTGCAAAATAAATAAACATCAGAATATTCTTTGCAGTAAACTAAACTAATCTATTATTTTCTTATAATTTTTTTGTTTCATATGAAAATAATACAATTTTAGACTTGTCGTCTGTGATTGAATATTATGACCTTTTCTAATCAAGTATAATAACAGTTCCATATCTGAATTAAACCCGCCAGTATGCTACAAATTAACGGCAAGTTCTCATAGAAATTTAATTATTCTTCATTTTTTAAGATACCAAAGTATTCGAAATGTCCTTTTGGATGTATTAAAACGGTGGATATTGCATGGAATTGTTGGAAAATGCTCAGAAATCTAGACCTCATTCCTAACTAACACTATGAAACATCAAAGAGGACCCCAAAATTAGTGCTTCAAAACTTGCAGCAGATTTATAAGAAAGATATGCAATAAAATTTAACCCTGAAACTATTAGAAAAGTCAGTAGGATATATGGATATGGAGAGCAATCAGCAAGAAGGAAATTCGGCTGAAGTGCAGAATCGCCCAGTTCTTTGATTGGCGTTTGTTTGGAGCTTTTTACAAGAGTAAGAAGAATTGGATTTTTGTCTATTTCTTTCACTTTTTAAGTGAAAATAGGTTTATGTGTACATGGATAAAGTCAAGGGAGTGCACAATGCCATTTTTGTGCAATTCTGGGATGTTTTTTTAAGTGAAAATAAATCGATGTGTACATGGATACTGAGTTTGTACAATTCTTTAAAACACACCAGGCAGTGGATGAATCTGCACTTTTCCCGGAAATTCTTTGTTAAAAAGAACAATAGAAATACTCAATAAATAACAATGGAAATGCCATTCATGAAATCTAGGGTGAGCAAAAATTTATCATACTGGAATAACACTGTATTTGGAGATGAATCGAGTTTTAATATATTTGGGTATGATGGAGGAATTACTGTGTTGCAAAAGCCAAATGAAGAATTGAATATGAAAAAGGTATTGCCTTTTGTTAAGCATGAAGGTGGAGGCATAGTGGTTTAGGGATGTTTTGCAGCCTCTGGGATACAAAATTTAGCTTTAATAGAAAATAATATAGCTCAGTATAAATATATTATCATGATAATGATCCTAAATATGCACAACCTTAAAAATTTGCTTGTGGTTATTATGGAAGTGCACTTAAGATATCGAAGCTCTTTCATATTCTCGTGACTTAAATCCTTTCTAACATATATGGAGTGAGTTGGGGGGAAAAGACAAGGAACTATATTTGTTCGGAAGGCTCTTCTAAAAGTAGTTCTTACAGAGGAATTGAACAAAACTGAACATTTTGATCTAAAAAAAAGTAGTTGAATCCAGACCAGAGTACATGAAAAATGTAATTTTAGCTAAAGGATATGCAACAAGATATTAAATGTCCCATTATTTTCATAGTTCAAAGTGTCCGAATACTCATGGGAGTTAAGTTTTGGAACGTTTTAAATATTTTTTTTTTTTTTGGTCAAAAATATTTTGATAAGTTTTTCAAAATAAGTAATTTTAAAAAAGATAATCAGTAGTGTATGTGAAGGAAAAATTAATTACCTCTTGGCCGCTGATGTTGGTAGTTGTTGGCAGTTTTCACAAATGTTACAAATGACAATATATTATAGTTCAGCTCTAAAAGCCTTAACCATTATATATATAGTATAAAGTCCGAAATCCGGTCATCCATTATCCGGAATAATCTAAAACCCGGACCTCAAAGCCACAATAATTTTTTTTTTTTTTTTTTTTTTTTTTTTTTTTTTTTTTTTATGCTTTACGCATGTGCATTTGATTTTTCCTTCAATAATAAAAATGTAGAGATTTTCACTTCAAAATTCTAATTCTTAATTTCACTTACGTACTAAATAAAATATCTTGTTATGGAAAAAGAATCCTGTGAGCATAAATTTATGAGATTAATAATTTGGCTCCATAGCTGAGTATCTGCTTGGCATACATCTCAAACCCAAACATTCACATATTTTACATCCCAGACGCTGACCTGGCGAGTCATTATTTATTATATTTTGCTTTCATCACCACATGTTTGTCAATACATGACAGCTTCAGTAATAACTCATGCAGCAATTTTTTTTATATTAGGAATTGAATAACAAGAGTATGACAACCTTTTATGCTAACATTATACTTGGCTGTGATAATAGATTTTTAAATGCTCTTAAGAAATGTTGACGAGGAAAAATTTAAAAAAAATTTCTTTTCATATTCTAAAAATAGATTTTGTTAATTAAACACATAGTCCAAAAGATTACATTTAGCGCTATTTTAATTAAGAATAACTGGTATGTTTATTCACCATAAACCCAGAAGCGATGGCAGAATATGTCGGCACCGGACTGCAGAATTTAGGGAAGACGAAATTTTTGAAATTTTGGAAAGCATCGAGCGGCAAAATTAAAGGAAGAGATGTTTTTTATGATTTAGAGAAAGCACTGGGATCCAAAGTTTAGGCATGGTGAAAACTTAGAACTTAGGAAGGTGCTTTGTAGCAGAATTTAGGACCCATAGAGACTGCACCAGCGGTATCTATCGCCCGCCCTAGATAAAGCCTTAAGTATATGTAGGAGTTTATTTATTCAGGACTCAAATTAGTTTTAAGCATGTGCAAGAAACAAATGTAGGTATAGTAAATAACTACTACAATTTAGACTTTTAACATCAATCTTGTGATACACAGCCAGTAATGTATAACGTACACTATTAAGCTAGGCTAAAATTATCTTCAATACTTCTGAAGCATTTCAGTTAATGTAGCAGACTGCGCTGCTCCCTAATCTTCTAATATGATCCAGCTTATTATTTTTTGCAGACGGCAATTTTATAAAAACTAAGCGTAAACTTTCGTTATGTCGAAAAGAGTTTCCAATTCTGGAGCTGCCAAAGTATCTACAATCTATCTCAAAATTATGCGAGGAGTATGGCATTGGAAAGTCAAATGTATATGACATAAGAAAAAGGAACTTTTAGAATTTTTTGTGGAAGCAACTTAAATGACTCGAGTAGAGTATACTTTAAGGTACACCTTGTATTATGGTGAAGTTGTTGTTTGATTCGCCAAGTTGCTGTTTCATTTATGGTAGCCTGAGTAGTGGAATGTTATGGAAACCCTATTGTGATGTAATAGGGTGCATGATTCTGGGAAATTTTGAATCATGGGATGTTTTGTAAGCGTTTTTGTGGTGTGTGTTGGTTTCATTCTTTAGACGGTAGAATGGTCGAATGTAGTAAGATTAATTTGAAATTTCTGTACGATTTGGAGCGAAAGTAAAAAGAGCTTTAATTGACTGATGTGTAAGTGAAGGTTTACTTAGTAGCCATTATAAGTGTCCTGTATGTAGGAAGGATATGCGTCTAGTCGAACGTAAAAACCGTTTAGATGGATTTGAATGGGTTTGTAGGAAGAAAGGTTCAGATGGTCACTATGTGAAGCGTTCGATCAGAAAGAGTACCTAGTTTAAAAAAAGTCATTTGAGTATGATTGATATTTTGATTTTTAAGTGGCTCTGGGTGTACGAAGCGAACTCGAAAATCATGGTAAGAGAATATTTGCTTTTGGTAGCGCTTAAATGTATAACATGTTTTTCCTTTTTTATGTTATTTTATTGTTTGGTTTAAAATGTATTTTATTGAGATTATGTATTTTTTGTTTGCCTATATTGTAGAATTTGATGCTCCTTTGACTTTTTAAGTGAAAATATATCGATGTGTACATGGACAAAGTAAAAGGAGTGCACAATGCAAGTTTGTGCAATTCTGGGATTTTTTTAAAGTAAAAATAGGTCAACGTGTACATGGATAAAGTTAAAAGAGTGCGCAATTCCATTTTTGTGCAATTCGGAGATTTTTTTTTTAAGTGAAAATAAGTCGATGTGTACATGGATACCGAGTTTGTGCAATTGTTTTGTCTTGTTATTTTGGCTTTGTGTAGCGACGATTTTTGGAGTGAAAATCGCCGCTTTGCAAGCCAAAATAACGAGTCAAAGAATTGCACAAAATTGGTATCCATGTACCGCCAAAAATCGCCAAGTTTTGCCAAGGGGTACCCTAAACTATACTTTTATCAACAACTCACATTAAAAGAAATATTTAATAAAGTGAACAAATATTAAGCTTTTTTTTTTTTTTTTTTTTTTTGTAAATTTTGATACCCTTTAGATCATAATTGTTCTTTATTTCATAAATTAAGATTTCATATTTTTAATTGTATAATTTCTGCATGCCATCTTACCAGATTTAAATTGATGTTCTAATATCCGGAAAAATCCGGAATCGCCAAAGTCCCGACGATTCCGTATTTCGGACTTTGTACTGTAGTATATTATTCCTATGATGATTGTGTTATCCCTGTCTAACATATACAGTACAAAGTCTGTAATCTGGATTCGTCAGGACTTTGGCGATTCCGGATTACAGGTTTTTCTGGATTATAGATCATCAATTAAAATTTGGTAAGATGGCATGTAGAAATTATACAATTAAAAACATGAAACCATAATTTATGAAATAAAAAGCAATTATGATCTAAAGGGTATCAAAATTTACAAAAAAAAATGCTGAATATTGATTTGTTTACTTTATTAAGCATTCATCACTTTGTCCATGATCTTCACTTTTAGCATAACAAACCCTTTTTCTGTTAATTATTGCAAGTGGGGTGTTGGAATCCACAAAATATTGCAAAAGTTACTTTCTCTTTTTGCTTATGTCATATATAGTTGACTTTCCAATGTCATACTCCTTACATAATTTTGAGACGTATATGCCTTTATCCATTTTTTGAGGCAATTCTACTTTTTGTTTGATGGAT